AAGAGCAGAGACTAAAATTTTGCCACACTCACAAAAAAACAGTAGTTTCGTTTTCTGTTTTTTTTCCTAAAGAGATGTTCTCCACGTAAAATTCTGGTACTGTCTCTAATAAAAAAGTATTTAACTTACAGGTCACAGTACACAATTATCAATACCACTAAATCTGAAACCCACCCTATAAAGTATGGCATACCTCAGGGGTCAACTCTTGGACCGGTTTTGTTTTTAGTTTATATAAATGACATTGGTATTATAAGAGGATGCAAAAATGTAGTATTATATGCAGATGACACGAACATTGTTTGTTTCAGAATTAAATTGAAAGAAATGTTTATGCAGGTGAACACATGATTAGAAAACCTGAACGTTTGGTTGGAGGCTAACAAACTTCATTTTAATATAAAGCAAACACCTTTGTTTTATTCAAAGCCAAGAGCATATCAGCAAACCCCACCACCAGAATTTCAGCAAACACTACTCTGACAGACATCAACCATCGCATTTGTGTGGGTAATAATTTACGATAACCTCTCCTCATTGGCACCACGTGTCATAAAGCAATCGTTTTAGCAAATAAACTAGGGCACTTTCTATCACCTGACACGAAACGACAGCTTTATTATGCCCTAATACAGTCACGCCTCACATGCTCCTCTCTGGTGTGGTCTACAACCACCGAGATGAACTTAAATTCACTTTTATCGCTGCAAAAGCGGACAATACGAGCAGTCGGAGATATCTCATATGCTTTGAGTACAATTCCATGCTTTAGCAACTATAACATATTGCCGAAACTTAAACTTAGGTCGTTACTGAAGGTAATGTGCCAATATACTAGTAGTACAGCGCTTTTCGAGAAAATGTATCAAACCAAACTTCCCCTATGAACTACGTAAAAACAAAACTGTCCAATCCCAATCAAGAACAAACTACGGCTTACAAAAATTGACGACCGGACATCTTAAACCCAGGTATAATAAACCTACTGCAAAATAGAATCGCCTCAACTAAAAGAAAAAGTAGAATAGTTGTTACTTTCGGAGTTTTAGGGTGTTATGCTCCCTGTCCTTCCTCATTTGTTACTCCTCCTTCCTTCTTACTGCCACAATTGCACAACTCTTTTGTTGCTTTTCGTTTTGCCGTTTATTTTCCTCTCGAAGCTACACAAGTAGCTTTTTTGTCTTATTTCTACTTTTGTACCATAGAAATGCTATTGTGGTTGTTTAAATTGTGAATGACACAACCACCTGTCGCAACTGCTGTCTTGGTGATGTAACCTAGCCAGGAACCGTTCGGACCTTTTGCTGCGTCTCCCAAAACAATTGTTTGTCTTGAATAAAGTCTGAATGAAATGTAAAAAAAGACATTTCTCATCGCGCTTTTGAGACACTCTCAGTGCAAAATTACTCCATACCAGAAATGTAGGATCATCAATAACCCAAACGAGGTCTCTAACTTGCTTTTAACCTCGGTATCACATAATTTGGTTTCTGACACCATCGACCACAGCACTGATTCTGACAGATTTGTTAGTCTGACTAAACCCACTCGAAGTTATTCACCGTCCGCGCATCCTTTATGAGTGTACGACAAATATTATTCGCAGCACGCAAGCATGGATTGCTGTACGTGCTATCATAGATTTGTGGCGCCACACTAATGACATTCGCTTCTGATATAATCACAAATATGTCTTGTCACTTTGTTCAATACAAAATTGAATATTTTTTTCATGTTGCGTAAGTCAACACACTTCCACGTGGACAGCAGAGTTACGTGTCCCGCTTAGCAGCGGTAAATATCTCTGGCCTTGCTGGTGTGTAGCCCGTTCAGCGTTAAGTTCTGAACTTATGTGACGGGACCGGGCAAGAAGCTTTGGCACTTGCGTGTGTGTGTGCTTCTTTTTGTCCTTTTCTGTCGTATAAGTTCTGCGCGTAAACCGAGAAATATTATTTTTTCACTAAACATATTATGTTTGAAGAGTGCAAAAGTGTCAAGTCTTAAAACCATCATAGGAATTTGAGAGACGCCGCAGTGGAGGGCTCCAGAAATTTCGGCCATCTAGTGTTTAATAACGTGCAGCGACATCGCACAGAACAGGGGTCTCTATCAAATCGAAATGCGACCGCCTATCTAGAAACTGAGCACCATAACCACTGCTTTACCCTGGCGAACTAAAATGAGTAATAGAAACAAAGTAGCAAGATGTGAAGTGTAGCCTTGTGAACTTGCTTCTTAATGCGTTTTCGCGAACTGTACGCATACTGTGTACTAAGCTTCCCATCGGGAAGGTTTAGGACTGCATACTGTCATAACGCCAGACCATTAGAACCCCCTCTCCGCTGGTGAACAATGCAGCTCTTCTGTCAGTGAAAGTTCTCCGGCATTATCCACGCATTGAAGAGCGTGCGGCGAAAAGCGTTCTTCCTGCAGAATAGCTCCAGGCCGTTCGAAGGCGGCCCGGCAGGAAAGCCGGAAAAGCGGTTCGCGACAAGCAATCGGCCACCGCCGGGCTGACCGACATTTTCGGTGGAGGGGAGGGCTCACGACGTCAGCGAGAGAGTCGTGTCCTCTCGTGGCCGTGTTCACAGCATTCAGCATTACCATGCCATAAATATCTGCTGCCCGAACCACGACCGGGGACACTCCTCTGCTGCACTCGTACCGCCGGGGAGAAAACAGTCGGCCACTTGGTTTTACGCAGTCGCCTTTTTTCTCTTTTTCTACGCGATTGTCGTTATTATTGTTATTACTTTGGGGCCGTACCTTGGCGTTCCGTTCTGTATTCTCAAGCGAACCCGGAACTCACGCAACTCGTTCACTCGTGACTATGTAAAGCTTTCGTTGGCACGTGTCCCGTCAGTCAGAAGCCGAAGAAAAAAAGGGGCAGAAACAAGAAAAGCAAATAAATAAAATCAAAGAGCGAGATGAAACGAATGACAGAAAGGCGCCAAGCAGATACGAGGTCCCGTCAGTGAATGTCGTAAGACGTGCAGCAATGGTTATGCTGGACCGGTCCGAGGCCGTTTCTGGACATCTTTTCTTGGATGGCGGGCCTCGCACGTCTCTTGAGAGATGAGCCGAGAGAGTGGGAGTGACGAGCTTGCTCGGTTGTCTGTTGATTCAGGCTCTCCTCGTGAGGCATCTCTGACAATCGCTGTTAGGTGTGACATGTCAACATGTCAGGAAGCGCTGGATCAAAATAACACTTTCAATGATCGCACGCTCGCTTATATATATTGGAAAAAAATGTTTCGTAACTGTTTGACAGGTCCTTATCCGAAAGCTACAGGTCAACACAAATATGAACACTATTCGCGTATGGAAAGCAGTGACACCTGACGCCACTGACCGTGAATTCAGCATTCTCGTGTGACGACATTTGGCAGGGACTATTTGTATAATTCTGGCAACAAAGCAAAGCTATAAGTAGTTACGCTAATTCTCAAATGGCATGCTATAGGGGCCCCGTAAGCAATACAGGTATCACGAAAATAACCGTTCCTTCGTATATCATAACTTGACATGCGCATGCCTCAGATGCCCCTCTCGAACGTAGCCCAAATGCGTTGCCAGTTTCATTTGCGCTATGAACGAGAAAGTGGCTTTTAAACACTGTATATATCACTTTGTACAAAAACATTTCATCCACTGCACATGGGCGTCTTGTAGGTCATCGCAACAGTTATCGTTTTTAGAGGCGAAGCTCCAAAAGGCGTGGGTCTGTCCATCCCTTGTATGTATGTATGTGACCGCATATAGTTCCACCTTTCCCAACGGCCCACTACTTCGTCAATCATCTCACTACGCTCCATCACCGATCCACCACTTCACCGACCATAAATCAAATACTGTTGAGAAGTAGCCAATATTAAATGCAAGATGGTCGTGTACTGGTATCCAGGTGCGCGTTAAAGAATCATAGATTGTTCCACAGTGTCCATTCCTTGTTTGTACGAGACCACCTCACGTTCCATCTTTGCAAACTGCCCACTAATTCGTCCTTGCAAACATCCACTGAGCCCCATCACCGATCCACCGCTTCTCTGACCATAAAGCCGTTATAATGAAGGGGGAATGGAAGCGACGTATGATAGCTACCACTTACGAATAATAAAATTTCTTGTATAAATATGTATCGTGTTCGTCACGTCTTTGATGATGTAGTGGGCGATATTCGCGGATGGTTCAAGGTTTAGCGACGAAACCCTCCAGCGCTTCGCCCCACTCATCATCATTCACTCCGTGGATATGCTGCAATCGTTCTTTTTTTTTTTCGCAGACACACTGCTGAACAAGACCCAGTTTCATTGCTGAAGAAAGAAAATACAGAACAAGCAGACGACGTCAAGCAAGCACGAGCGCCTGATCCACGCCCTCACTTCATGGATGACAAACGAGGCTATTGCACCGCTGACATCACTACAACAGTAACGTTCGCGTTTACTTGGTAAACCGGCACTATCATGCCGGCCCCGTTGAAGCGGAGCACTTTCTCGCCGGGTTCCGCTTTCTCCGGAAGTGAAAGCGAGATATCTTACTAGGCATGTCCCCATTCGAAGTCACTCGTAATGCGCCATACACCATTGGGCGATGCCTCGCGCTTCTTCCTGAAGGGACATGGTCTTAAACACGTCCGTGTGAAAAACTTTGCGTTGCAACGTTAAACAGTGAATCCTGTTGACAAGGAAAGAGAACAACAGAAGACTGTCAGCGAGCGTATCTGTGATCCAGTATCGTTTTGCTGGAATAACTGCATCGGACGAGCTACTCGCGCGCATGAGGAAGTGAGTTTACGCGGTGGCTCTATTCTATATCCGCTAAATACCTTCAAGCCTTAGACACGGGAAGCACCCCCAATGGTTGATCAATGCTACTTAACCACACAGTTTTAAAAAAAGCATACAAATGAAAGTGGAGTGAAAAGCAAAGCGGACGCAATCATCGTCACTGAGACCATGTAGTGCGGAGTAGCGAAAGAGTTGAGGCCATCGGCGCACCTTCTCACCTGTGGTCAGCGCAGGCCGCGTGGTTGACGCATGTCGTTCCGTGGGCCGGCAGAGCCGACGGCGCGCGAGCGCTGATCTCTGACGTCTCGACTATCCTTGGGGGGCAAGCCCAGCGCTACCGTCGGCGTACGCGACGTTGGCTGCCAGCGCAGCGCGAATGTGCCGCCCGCCGAAAGCGACCCGGCGCGAAGAAGGAAGGCCCCTTTCCGGCTACGTCACAGGACCCCCTTTCTCTGTTGCTGCTGATGGCGGGCCGGCTCCTTAAAGAGGCCACTTTTTCCCCGGCTGCCGAAGAAAGCCAGCCCGCACGAACGCCGCCGGAATCCGTGGCCCGCCGGCTGAGTACACTTCATGTGGCCGGTACGCTTTCTCCCCCCTTCTGACGCTGCTGAGCTGGAAAGCGCGCCTTTGAGTCATTCGGAAGGGGCAATACTCCTTCGTCTCCCCAGTGACCATGGCTGGACCTCAAAAGCAGCACCTGCGGACAGTAATCTTTGTCAAGAACGAGAAGAAATGCTTGGGCACCCCATTTCTGCTGTTTAAGCGCGGACTAATCGCTTCGTCGAATGCGCTCAAAAACGCCTGTAGTGCGTCTCAGACTGGGGACAAGCTGACCTATTCTGTTCAGTAATAATGAGACGGAACAGGTCTTTTACATTTGCATTCCAGGATCCCTGTTCCGTTCTCGTGCGTGTTCGAGTTCTTGCTTTATTTCGCTCTCTGTGGTATCGAGGAGACTTAGCCGCTAATCTTCTGTAACTGTGCTCGCTACGGTGTCCACAGACGATCACTCAAAATTTAACTAGTTCACCTTGAGCACAGACCGATGCTCCTAGCAACAATACCGGAATGTCTTCATGAAAGGTGGTCGACAATGAAAGTAACGAAGGCATTACAAAGCCTTTATAGACAACCGACTTCCACAAGTTACTTTAGGCTGATAGTGATGCGGTGTAACGCACAAACGTGACGTTGTGTATGCGTGTGTGTGCGCACTCACACACAGAGTTTTTTTATTCTTCTTTCTTTCAAGCTCTCTGTCCCTTCCCGCATTGTAGTGAAGCATACCGCTTATTTAGAACTGGTTAGCATCCTGGCCTTCCTTCCCTCTCTCTTTCCTTTTTTTTCACAGCAAGAAGCCGTATTGCACGCGCTCTTGCAGTATTCGGATTATTCACAGTGCCAGCCGGAATAACCTGCGAACCCAAGTGCACATTACGAAGAAAAAACTCTGTGTCATGTTACACTGGCAATGACAGCTACATTTCATAGTGGGTACGCGTGAAAGAATATAACTATGGGCGTTTTACGCACCTTATGAAACTTCGGAACGACCGGTGTCTGCCGCTCAGGGACACTGAATTGTGTATCTTTCTTAGTTGACGCCTAGCAGGGAGGCCACCAAAAGAGCACTGTAGTTGCTAAATAGCGGTAAATGATCTCACCTGACTTCTCGAAAAGTGGACTGAGAAAAACGCTATGGTCGTCTTAGAAAGATCCTGTAAGCACAACAACGCGTGGGGTCCTCCCGTACTCTACCCCACATTGAGGTTACGGGCACACTACTTCTAAAATGGAGTAGAAGTAGATACCAGTTATTAAAGCCGAAGTGGTTCGGCCTCGCACACTGGCACATACAACAAAAAATCAGTGTTGCCGGTAACGTGTTACAAGTAACGCGTTAATTTTTTCCTGTAACCAAGTGACGTTATTATTTCTATTTTGTAATTCTAAGGGGTACCACACTTGCGCTACCCTTTTGGGGTAACGTAAAGTGTCACGTTAGTCGCTACTTTTCGTTATAATTATCCTTGTAGTATTACACAAAAGGCGTTCATCTTTGTCAGAGCTTGTCTGGACGTTATTTCTATGGCGGATTGCTGTCAGCCCGGCACGCATTAACAAAACGACACATCAAGGGGCCTTTTTTTTTTGCGCGAGGGAAATCATAATGCGGAAGAAACTGCGGAATTATTTTAGTGCATTTGCTATAGTTTCGGCTATCTCGCCATTGATATTCGAGTTTTCGTTGATTGTCGATGAAACGAAGCGTAATGCGGTCCTCGGAGCTGTTCTGCTCGGCGTGCGCATATCTGGACTCTTCAGCTCGCACGCTACGGAGAATGACTTCTTCGAAACTACCCTCCAAAATAATCGCCAATCGAAGATGACCGACTGTCTCGGTAACTTTGGTGCCACATGGCATCACCATGAATGGGCCCAAGGAAAACATTCGGCGCTTCCACTAGCTCTTCCTGAAAGTGAACACTGGAGCACACGTAACACGTCCTCCGAGCTCCTATAGGTGCAAACGTATTCGCTAACAAGCTGGTCAAGCTGTCCGATTATTGCTTGATTGATAGATATGTGGGATTGAACGTCCCGAAACCACTATATGATTATGAGAGACGCCTTATAGTGTGGGACTCCGGAAATCTTGACCACCTGGGGTTATTTAGCGTGCACCCGAATCTGAGCACACGGGGCTACAGCATTTTCGCCTGCGTCTGATTAAAGCTTGCAAACGTGGCTGTCAATTATATGCAATGATTTATGCAGTTACATTAGGAAATTATTCCTGGATCACTCTACCACAGTTTTTAAATTTTGTATTCAAAATTATTTTGTTTCTTTCAATTTGTAGCTGCACTTCGTTTCTGCTTATTGAATTCCTGAGTGGCCTCGCCGCGGTGGTCTAGTGGCTAAGGTACTCGGCTGCTGACCCGCAAGACGCGAGTTTGAATGCCAGCTGCGGCGGCTGCATTTCCGATGGAGGCGGAAATGTTGTAGGCCAGTGTGCTCAGATTTGAGTCCGCGTTAAAGAACCCCAGGTGGTTGAAATTTCCGGAGCCCTCCACTACGGCGTCTCTTATAATCATATATGGTGGTTTTGGAACGTTGAACTCCACAGATCAATCAATCAAATCAATCAATCGAACTCCTGAGTGAGCGAGGCTGACCTTGAGCCTTTTCACATACGCAGTCACAACAAAAGCGGCAATTATTGTGTATATGTGCATATACTTTTTTCAGATTTATGCCATTTAAGCATTCATTTACTGCTACAAAATTTGCGCATTGCTTTTGGTGGCAGAAGCACGCCGTCATGACTATATTGCAAGTTTTTTTTTTTTCAGTGACGTCTTCATTGCGGAGGGTGTTGATGAAATTGATCATCTAGTATTTAATGACCCCTTCCGAAAAAAAGTTAGAAGCCATCCCATGTAACTATACAAGCAACTTTAGGCCACTATAGTTCTACAAAAACGAGGCACATTTGAACAAATTATTCTCGCTTTATCAGTATTAGGGGTCATTTTTTTTTGTTTCGGTGAAAAATGTAGTTTGATATATAAATATGAGTTTTATAAAGTAGCTATTGTAGTATTTAATATGAAAACTTACGTGCAAACTAAGACGAACCACAAAAAAAAACACAAGAAAAAAGCACTGGCGCTAGAGTTTTTTTTTCCTAAATGTTGTACCTACCAGACCCAACAGAAGTTTTATTGTAGCGATTGTAGGTTTTTGAAGCGAAGACGAACTGGTTCGTGGAACTAACGTCCATTGCTTTTTAAGGGTGACGGTAAAGGTGGCGCGTTAGCTTTTTTCTTAGCAACATTGGGGCGTTAACGTGTCCCCCCCCCCTTTTTTAGCATAATCAGGTTCGTATTTAGTCACTTTTTTCTGGTAAAGACATATAGCACTACAAACGATGAATTCAGGATATCTATAAGCGCTGGTTCACTAACTATATATATATCGGTACTGCATAAACAAAATACTTTCTATTCATAAGTTTGCAAGCTCAATATCTACAATGACCTTTTGACAGCGTGGATGATGATGTATATACAGTATGAATTGTTATGAAAGGGAATGCGTGACCACGCCCTGCGCTATGCGGCGGCTACCAGCATGCAGCTCCATCAGCGGATAGATAAAGAAAACGCGTCCGCTTTTGGCGGCGTCGACGTTGGCGAGAGCAGAGCCGGAGCACAACTTAGCAGCGCTTCTCCAATGGTCATGGCTTATTTCGATTGCTAATAGATGATGCGAAAATCGGTCGTGCTTTCTTTATCTGTTGGTTGATGTTTATCTGTCGGTTTCTTTATCTGTCTGTAGTCAACCGCGACGGAGCGCAGGTCATGCGCTTGCGTGTTCCGTTTCATAGAAGTTTATATGGTACAGTCAGTTTCACACGTAGAAGAAATATCGGAGCGCGTGGCGTCGGGAAGCGGCCAGCGCTGCAGTCGCGCGGCGGCAGCAGTTCGCGCATGCGCATACGCTTGAGGAGTGTGCTATTGAAACGCATCGTCTGCGACGGCGGTGCGCGGGCCACATTGTTGGGCAGCCTGCCGATTTCATTGTTGCTGCGGGAAGTTAGACCGATATTCTGTACTAAACGTTGTGCAACCTTGCAGTCTTCATTGGCGATAATGGGGTTCTAGAAACGGTTTGACACCATACGTTGTTTGCTCTGTCGGAACGCCGCTGTACTCAGTACATTCACGTATTTTTGTTCCTTTTTGTATGAACCGCAATACGCTGTGACTGGGAATATATTATGATGAGCATGCACCGGGCGTGGTATTTATTTCGTGCATATTACAGCGACTGCCGTGCAGCTATGTGGTTTCAAAACAATGAAAAAAACGTGTTCAGGAATTCTGTAGCATAAGGTAACAATGTGAACGTGCCTTTTTTCGGTGGTGTTTCATTATTTGAGGCAGCACTCGCTTGAATTTTTGAATTAAGTGAATTTTTCAACTTCACCTAATACCCTGTCATGTTCTCAATGGCAGCGATGACAGCGCTGATTTTGAACGGCAGTGGGGCGTACCACGGCCACTGGATAAAAAAAAACAACAGCCTGTTGCGTCACCTCGTGTCAATGGGCGAGCACGTCTGGGCAAAGTTGACTGTTTCGGCCACTTTTATTTTTGGGAGGGCGCTGACGCTCCACCTGTCTAGTCAGATGGCACGTCGTGTTTCAATGTGGTTGCGTGGGAATTTTTGCGTGTCCGTGTGCTTTTTTGTGTGCTTTATCATGCTCTTTTTATGTGCGATCACGTGTGGAAAGCAGTTTGCCTCATGCTTCTTGTGGTTGGTATGATTTTCGGGTGCACGCGTGTGTGGCAGATGGTTTTTTAGTGATTGGCGCCGCGAAGATGTGTGC